ATCTAGGAATAAACCTTACCAAACATGTCAAAGATCTCTACAAGGAAAACTATGAAATACCAGACAAAGAAATTAAAAATGATACAAAGAAGTGGGAAAACATTCCATGTTCCAAGATTGGAAGAATTAATATAATCAAGATGCAATCGTACCCAAATTAATCTACATATTGAATGCAATTCCAATCAAAATATCAGAGATATTCTTCACAAAAATAGAAAAAAAATTGTCTGGACTCATAAAAGGCTCCGTTTCACCAAAACAATATTGTGCAAGGGGAATAAAGTAGGAGGCTTCTCACTTCCTGACCTCAAAACAAATTACAAAGCTGTAATAATTAAAACAGTCAATGATATTGGTACAGAAACAGACAGGTAGACCAAGGGAACAGAATTGAGAATCCCCAGATAAACCCCAAAACATACAGCCAACTGATCACTGACAAAGGGCACAAAACAATTTAGTGGGAAAAAGAAAAAAAAGGTCTTTTCAGCAAATGGTGCTGGGAAAATTGGATATCAACCTGTAGAAGAATGAAAGTGGACCCTTCTCTCTCAACACTAACAAAACTTAACTCAAAATGGATTGAGGGTCTAAAAATAAAACCTCCTATCATAAAAATACTAGTGGAAAACACAGGGAAAACTCTTGGAGACCTTGGAATAGGCAAAGACTTCTTAAAGAAGACCCCAAAAGCACAGGAAATAGTTCCAAAAATAGACAAACTGGACTATATTAGGTTGAGAAGCTTCTACACAGCAAAATAAACAATTAGAGTGAGAAGACAACCCTTGGAGTGGGAGAATATATTTGCAAACTATACCTCAGATAAGGGACTGATAACTAGAATATACAAGGCTCTGAGGCAGCTTACCCACAAAAACTTAATCAATCCAGTTAAAAGATGGGAAAATGAGCTGAACAGACAAATCACCAAAGAAGACATAATGATTGGTCAAGAAGCATAAAAAAACATGCTCTACATCTCTTGGCATAAGGAAAATGCCAAACAAAACCACAATGAGATACCATTTAACCCTAGTCAGAATGGCTAAAATAATAATTAATAATAATAATGATGATGATGATGATAAGTGCTGGCGAGGCTGCAGCAACAAGGGAACTCCCCTACACTGTTGGTGGGAATGCAAATTAGTACAACCACTGTGGAAAATGATACAGAGATTTCTCAGAATCCTACAAACAGAACTATCCTATGACTCAGTAATTACACTCTTACGTGTTTACCCAAAGGATAGAAAATCCCCTCAGTCAGAAAAGCACTTGGATATCCATGTTTATTGCAGCATTATTTACAATTGCTAGGGCATGGAATCAACCCAAATGTTCAAAAATATAGACAAGGGGATTGAAAAATTGTGGCATATGTACTCTATGGAATACTACTCAACCATAAAAACAATGAGACACTGACATTTGATACAAAATGGATGAATATAGACTTAATATTAAGTGAAGTGCAAATAAAGTTTACATAGCTGTAAAAAGCCAAGATGCCATCATCTATCTGTTTTCTTGTGGACAAGATTAGAAGTGTAACGTCTTAGAAAGGTTGAAAAGATTGATTCTGGACTTGGAGGCCTGAAATATAAGTTAGGGCAGAAATATCCTACAGTTTAAAGGGGCATTAAGTGAAAGCTTACATAATGAATGATGGGGGTACAATAAAAAGATGGCTGGCCAGTGGCGAAGTGCTTAAGGAGGCTGGATTCCACATGACTGACTGTGCACTTCAAGTACCAAATCCAATGGCTTGAAAAACACACCAAGCACATATGCATGCTTGACCAAAAACCTAAAAAGTAGAAAAATGGAAGAGAAGCGATTGCTGTGTGACCATTTCCTATGGTGGGAGCAGGGAATAAGGGAGGTGCTTTCTCACTTTTTCTCTCTGGTGACTGCGTGAATTAAAACAAAAAATAAAAATAAAGAGACCCAGCCACAGGGGCTTGTGCTAGTAGTATGTTTCTACTCAATTATATGAGGCATGAAAATCCTGGCTCATCCTAAAAGTCAGGCAAGGTGGCAGGCAACTACACTCTCAAGTACTCAGGAGGTTGAGACAGGAAGATACTGTGACAAAGTGTGATCACATCTTTTTTAAAAAAAGAAGAAAAACAGAATAGATTTTAAAAAGTTAGCAGAGTGTCAGGAACCCACAGGATAATGTCTACAGGCTTAGTAAACATGTAATTAGAGTCTTAAAAGAAGAGACAAAAAATAACAAAGAAAAGTTGGAAAATAATGGCCTCAAATACACAAATTACATAAAAGTGCAATTAAAAAAACTGTTTTGGGAATGTAAAGTTTTTTGAAGAATTAATTTCACTTGTTATTACTATTTTTTAATTTGACCAGAAAGAGAGAGAGAAAGGGAAAGTGTGACAGCAAGGCACCAGGTCTGGGACTCGAACCACTGTCAGCCATGTGGGAATCCAGCATCTTTAACCACTATGCCACTTGCTGACCCCTAATTTTTTATATAAAACAATTTGGCAATGTGAATGAAGAATCTTAAAAGGATTCATATACAGTTTGGACTAGTAATTCCAATTATGGGAATTTATACTAAGGAAATACATAGAAATAAAATATTCAATTTCAGAGAAAACTCCTTCAAAACATAATTTAGCAAAACTCTATATTATCTGATGACAGGCTAACAGATAAATATTGGGGCATAGCTGCTACAGAATAAATATTTGTTAAAAAATGAATTAGTATGTTTTCATAAAGTATATTAGATATAACCAGAGAATATCATGCAATAAAAAGGTAACAATAAACTAATCTACATATTTAATGCAATCCTAATCATATTATCAGAGACACTCTTTATAGATTTAGAAAAAACAATCATAGAAGTTGTCTGGAATCATAAAAGACTCCATATTGCCAAAGCAATTCTGCCCAAGAGTGGAGTAGGGAGCATTTCACTTCCTGACCCCAAAATATATTACAAAACTGTGATACTCAAAACAGCATGGTCCTAACACAAAAACAGGCAGATAGACCAATGGAACAGAATAAAGACCACAGAAATAAACCCCAAAATGTACAGTCAGCTGATTTGTAACAAAGGGCATCAGTTAATCCAGTGGGGGGGGGAACCTCTTTAGCAAATGGTGCTAGAAAAACTGGGTATCCAGCTGCAGAAAGATGAAACTGGATCTCTCCCACCATTAACAAAAATCAACTTAAAATGGAGCAAAGATCTGAACCTAAGACCTCAAGCTACAAAACTACTAGTGGAAAACAAAGGGGAAACTCTTAAGAGACATAGGAATAGGAAAAGACTTCATGAATAAGACCTCCCAAAGCACAGGCAATAATCTGAAAAATAGACAAGTAGGATTACATTAGGTTAAAAAGCTTCTGTACAGAAAAAGGAACAATAGAGTGAATCAACAACCCTCAGAAAGGAAAATACATTTGCAAACTATACCTAGGATAAGGGACTAATAGCCAGGATATACAGAGAACTCATAAAAGTTTACTAAAAAAAAAAAAGAAAGAAAAAAAATCAATGCAATTAAAAGATGGGCAAATGAGCTAAACAGACAATTCTCTAAGGAAGACATAGGAACAGCCAAAAAGCATATGAAAAAAATGCTCAACATCTCTTATCACAAGGGAGATGGCAAATCAAAACTATAATGAGATACCACCTAGTCAGAATGGCTAAGATTAAAAAAAAAAAAAAAAAAAAAAGAGGGGACGAGAGAAGGGTGAAAGGGCAGCTGGACTCCACGTAGTTGACCATGGTTCAAGTCTGGAACCTGGTGGCTTAAACTCACACCGGCGCGTGTGAGTGCGTGCCCAAGATCCCCAGAGGAGAATGGAGGAGAAGGGATTACAGCATGGCCATACCCCCTGGGGGGGGCGTGATTTCTTGCTTTCTGTCTCTCTGTCTCTGTCTTTCTGATGAGTGCACATGCCCTTTAGCTAAAACCTCTCTAAAACCAAAAAGAATTAAAAAAAAAAATGTTGATGAGGCTGTGTTGAAAAAGGAACTCTCCTCCACTGTTGGCAGGAATTAAATTAGTACAGCCACTGTGGAGAACAATATGAAAGGTCCTCAAAGACCTACTATATGATCCAACAATTCCACTCCTGGCTATCTACCCAAAAGATAGGAAAACATCAGTCGGAAAAACATTTGCACATCCATATGTATTGTAGCACTATTCACAATTGCTAAGACATAGAACCAATCCAAATGTCCAAGAACAGATGAATGGATTGAAAAAGTGTGGAACACATATACTATAGACTACTACTCAGCCATAAAAAACAATGAGACCCTGGCATTTAATTCAAAGTGGACAAATACAGAAGAGTTACTGCTAAGTGAAGCAACCCCCGACAGTGAAAGAGAGGCATTATGTGTTCCCGCTCTGGACTCTATGGCAGAAAGTGAAATATTGGACAGTACAAAGGCATGGAGAACAACTGTAGACACCAGCAGCAGCGTGGGAGGAGGTTAAGAAATGGCAGAGGGTGAGAGGGAGAGAAAAGAAAGAAGTAAAGAGGGGAAAAAAGAAGCAAAGCAGTTAAGAAACACAAAATGGAAAATATCTGTTGAAGATAATAGGTATGGTAATATCTTTGATTAGGCCAACATTCAGTGTATTGTGGACGGGAAAATTAATTTTGTATGCTGTAATGATATACACTGAATGAGTATAATACATTTAAAAATTTTAAAAAGTAACAATAAAATTCTATATAAGCATAATATCTACTACTCAATATAAAATATGATATCAAAAATAGGAGAAAAGGACTGTCTCTGAGTAGTAGAATTATGAATGATTTTAATTTTCTTCCTTATATTTTTCAATATTTTATAATGAGACTATATTTACTGATATAGTCAGAAAACTGTGTTAGTCAATATAGAACTATAAATTTATACTGAATACATTCTAAATATCTATATCCTTAATATTCTGCTTTTACTCGGTCCTCAGGTTTACCTTGGTCCAGAGTCACTACCATTCATATCCACATTGAGCTCTCGGGGTTTAGCAAGTTCTTTGTCAGCAACCAGTTCTCTTGACTTAAATATAGCTTGAGTTCTTAACCTGTAAAAATAAATTTAGAGAATTTCTAGTCCAGTGGAGCTTCATCAGCTGAATGGTAATCCTTGGAAAATTATTCTCTTCCAGCTAGACCCCCAGAAATTATTTTCAAATCAAAACCCAATCTGTTGAAAATAAATGGCTAATTCCAAAGCACACATAAACAAACACAAATTGGTTTCATACTAATTTAGACTTTGTTTATTTATAGGGGAATAGGAATGATTGGATTGGTTAGAATATCATTTCAAAATTAAAAATTATTGATGCTTTGGGTACACTTATTAAGTCTCTTCTCTAGCAATTTAAAGCTTCCCTCCATTCATTTCTAAGGAAGTATATTTTGACCACTAGAATCTATATGGGAATTCTACTAATTTTAAGGATCACTGACCCTGCCCAACATATTCATGGGAGGCACCCACTTTTCATACTGATATTTCTAAGAGCGAGGGTTATAGCTCACTGACCAATTATTGGGTTGTTGGAAAAGTCATGACATATTTTTCTATGTTTTTTCTATGCAAAAATGCATCATGACTCTTCTCACCACTCAATATTTTCCTCTGGGTTATAGTTAAGTTCTTCCAAAAGAATTGGAAGACATTCTACCCACCAATACTGACTTAGCTCTACAGTCACTTCAACTGAGGAAGTAAGACTGCTGAAAAAAATCAGCACAAACTTCTTCAACTTAAAGTTTGAGGATCAATCACCAGTACCAATTACGTGACTATCAATTTTCTCGATTTTTAAAAAATGTTCTCTAATATGTATAAAAGTATATATTTTTTAACTATGACAACAAACCATGAAGAGAAAAAAAACATTGCTAACAGCATTGTCATTTTCATTATTGTCAAAAGACTTTTTTTTTAATCTGCCAGAGGACAAAGTGCACTTGCTGGGGGTAAGGGGGTAAGACAGAATGAAAGTGAGAAAGTGCTCCCACACTCATGGGGAATGGTCACACTGTAATCCCTTCTCCTCCATTTCTCTTCCTCCCCTCAGAATTTGGGGCACACACATGCATGCATCAATGTGTTTCTCAAGCTGCCAGGTTGGACTCGAACTGCATAATGTAACATCCAGCTGCCTTAACCAATAGGCTAAGAATTGGCCCCAAAGACATTCTTATAATTAAAACTAACCATGTACTGTAATATACAATAATAAATGTGGAGATAATTACTCTACTGAACTTACAGTTTAAGACTAGTATATAGTAGTGACACATAGGTAAGTAGGAAGTAGGTAAATGAAGATGCAACATGTTAAAATCAATCAATCAAGAATGAAGTGAAAACCACAGGTTACCCTTGAACAAAGCTGAGGTTTGAGGTGCCAACACTCCTCCAATGCAGTAAAAAAAATCTGCATGTAACTTTTAATTCCCAAAACCTTAACTACCAATATCCTATTATTGACTAGAAGCCTTACTGATAACAGAGTTGATTTATATATATTTTGTATGCTATATGTATTATATATTATATTCTAACAATAAAAAAGCTAGAGAAAATAATGTTACAGTATTTATTGAAAAAACTCCAGTAAATACTGTATAAGTAGACCTATGTAATTTAAACCTGTATTATTCAAGGGTCAACTATAATAGCAATAGTAGCAGTTGGAGTAGACGCTGCAGCTATAGAAATGGTAATGATGATGATGATGACAGCAGCTCCCATTCAAGAAGTATATTTTACACATACTATTACACTGATCTTCACAAACATTCCATAGTTTCTTTCACAATGTGTATTTATAGATGACTAAAGGAACGGAACTCATCCCAGGTGAAAGATTTTTCAGTGGTGAAGCATTATTTTCATTATAGTTAGGTATGAAGTAAATATATTAAAGCATATTGGAAGAGTGGGAGAGAAGATAAATATAATTATCCTTGATTTTGCTCCAAAAAGTATTTTGGGTGATTCTTGATACTACCAAGTAGTATTCCAGACAAATTCTCTCTTACAAATCTGGAAAAAGGTATCAAAGATAATACCTGTTTGAAGGTTTTTATTGGCCACTATGTAACACCAAAGTTATAGAATGCATAGTTAATCATAATTTCATAAATGTTAAGGCCATGCTAAATTTATTCCAAAATGACAGGCTCATCCCCAAATTCTGAATGCCTATAATAATTCTGTGCTATACATTTGGTATTCAATTACAGACTGCCTTCCCAATATTTCTCCTGAATATCCTGAACACCATAAACAATGCCTTGTACATAACAGATATTTTTCATTAATTTCTTTGACATGAGATTCCTTGGTTCATTTACATAACAAGTTTAATAAAAAACATAACAGTTCAAATAATACATAAATTAGAGAATGAGACTATGAGACTATACATCATATACTGAGAGAAAAGATCAGGCAAATTTGTCACCTTGAAATCTTCCTAATACATCGTTGATATTTCTTCCTTTCCTCAGCCTGTAAGTTCTCCTCTGATTTAATTATTTTTGCTCTACTTCTCCATTTACATACATCCTAGCTATTTAATATGACACGATAAAGTCCCACTACTTAAAAATTTTAGGTCTAGTTTCTTTCTCACCTAAGAGACTCTATTTTAAGTTATGGAATATACACAAAATTATCACTTCATTGTTTAATATATAATGGCCTGCTTGGCCAAAACCACAGATAAAGACAAGATACTAAAATTGGCAAGAGTTACTTACAGTTACATCAAGTTACTCACAAAGGTTATCCTATCAGGCTAACACCAGACCTCTCGTCAAAAACTATGCAAGCAAGGGACCAGCAGTTAAGGTAATGGCTATGTTGCTGAACTCCCATGTAGACGACCATGGTTCAAGTCCCGGACCTGGTGGCTTAAACTCACACCTGGTGCATGTGTGTGTGTGCCCAAGATCCCAAGAGGAGAATGGGGGAGAAGGGATTGCGGTGTGGCCATCCGCTCTGGGGGATGATTGCTCACTTTCTATCCCTCTGTCTCTCTCTGTCTTTCTGGCGAGCGCACGCACCCTACAGCAAAAACCTCTTCAAAAAAAAAAAAAAATGCAAGCAAGAAGAGAACGGGGATATATATTCAAAGTGTGAAACTGAAAACAATTTCAACCAAGATTACTATACCAAACAAGATTAGCATTCATATGGGAAGAAAAGATAAAAAAAAAATTCTTGGATAAACAAAACCTGAAAGAATTTACCAACTCCAGACCAGCTCTTCAAGAAGTTCTGAAGGGAGTGCTATAACAAGAAAACTAAAGCCAGACAGACAGAAATAAGAGAACAACAACAACAACAACAACAACAAAAAGAACATGGCCAACTTAACAGTAGGGACAAGTCCAGAAATATCAATAATAACATTGACTGTTAATGGTTTAAATTTTCCAATCAAGAGACACAGACTGGCTGAATGGATTAAAAAACAGAAACCCTCCATCTGCTGCCTACAAGAAACCCATCTCATGGATAAAGACACACATAGACTAAAATGAAGGGCTGGAAAAAGATACTCCCTGCAAATGGAAACCAAAAAAGAGCAGGAGTCATGATACTGATTTCAGACAAGATAGGCTTTAAGACAAAATTGTAAGAAGAAACAAAGGGCATTACATAATAGTAAGAGTGCTAATTCATCAAGAAGATATAATGCTTATAAATTATCTATGCACCTAATTCAGGAGCACCCAAATATGTGAAGGAAAGACTGCTAGATCTAAAAGGAGAGACAGACTGTAACACACTAATTGTTGGGATCTCACCACCCCATTATCTCCTTTAGATAGAACAAGACAAAAATAAGCAAAGAGATTCAGGACCTAAACGATACCATAAATCTGACTTGACAGACATCTATAGAACTTTCCACTCAAAACTCACAAAATATATATTTTCCTCACCGCCCTGCATGGTACCTTCCCAAAGACTGACCTCATGATAGGGCATGAAACCAGCCTTGACAGATTCAAAGGCATATAAACTATATCCAGCATCTTATCTGACCATGATGGAATTAAACTTGGTATCAGTTTCAGGGAAAACCCTCTAAAATACACAAATACATGGAAATTAAATAATCTACATCTGAATGACTTCATGACTACCAAAGAGATTAAGACTGAAATCAAAAGACTCATGGAAACAAATGATAATGAGTGCATGAGTTTCCATAATCTATGGGATACTGCAAAAGCAGTCATAAGAGGGAAGTTCATAACAATTAGTATGCAGAAGAAAAAGATGGAAAGGTGGTAAATGGACAATCTAACATCATGCCTCAGGGAACTGGAAAAACAACAACAAAGCTCACCCCCCAAAAAAATGCCAGGAGAAAGAAATAATAAAGGTTAGAGCAGAAATAAATAAAATAGAAAATAAACAAGCGACACAGAAAATAAATAAAAGCAAAAGTAGGTTCTTTGACAAGATAAACAGATTGACAAACCATTAGCTAGACTACTTAAGAAGGAAAGAGAAAGGAACCAGATATATCAAATTCACAATGAAACAGGAATTATTACAACAGACATAATAGAAATACAAAACATCCTTAGAGCATACTACGAGCAACTATACGTCAACAAACAAGAAAACCTGAATTAGATGGACAAATTCCTGAATTAGATGACAAATTCCTGGACACATATAATTTACCAAGATTGACTCAAGAGGACATAGAAAGCCTGAATAGACTCAAAATAAGCAATGAGATTGAATCAGTAACTATCCTACAAAGAAAATCTCAGGTCCTGATGGCTTCACTTCTGAATTCTACAAAACTTTTAAAGAAGAGATAACCCCTATTCTACTCAAATTATTCTTAAAGATCCAAAAGGAAGGAATCTTCCCAAATTAATTTTATGAAACCTCCATCACTCTCATTCCCAAAACTAATAAGGATATGACAAGAAAGGAGGACTACAAACCAATATCTCTGATGAATATAGATGCAAAAATTCTCAGCAAGATACTAGCAAATCATATTCAACAACATGTAAAAAAGATGATTCATCATGACCAGGTAGGCTTTATTCCATGGATGCAAGGGTGGTTCAACATATGCAAAACCATAAACGTAATACATCATATTGATAGAAAGAAAGCAAAAACCATATGATTGTTTTAAGCAAGGCAGAAAAAGCATTCAATAAAATACAACATCCCTTCATGATTAAGTCAGCAAAATTGGCATAGAAGGATCATTTCTCAGCAAAATAAAAGCTATCTATGAAAAACCTATAATTAACATACTGGTATAAGACAAGGTTGCCCACTCTCTCCATTCCTTCACATGGTGGACCTCAGTTTGAGTCCTGGATCTCGCAGCTTGAAACTCACTCCAAGTGTGTGTGCACACATGTCCAAATACCGAGAGGAGAATGAGCAAAAAAGAACTATGGTGTGGGCATAACCCCTAGGGGATGATTATTTCTTTGTCTTTTTCTGTCTCTGTGTCTCTGATGAGTACTCGCACCCTATAAGCAAAAAGCTCTCTTAAAAAAAAAAAAAGAAGAAAAGACAGAAAAGGTAATGAGATAATAAGAACAAACCTATCGGGGTCAGCAAGTAGCATGGTGGTTAGCAAACTAGATCCCAATGGCTGACTCAGTGGCTCGAGTTCAGGGCCCAGCAGCTTGAAAAACACACAGGGTACACATGCATCTCATGTGTGCATGCCCAAAACCCAATGTCTATCAACCCTGATGGGTGATTTCTCACTTTCCCTCTGTTTCTGTCAGTTTGTCTTTCTTTGGTGAGTAAATGCACCCTATAGCAAAATCCCGAAGGAAAAAAAAAAAAAAAAAAAAAGGAGGGGAGGGCAGCCAGCAGACCATCATTAAGATGCTGGATTCCCACATGGCAAAAGCAGTTCAAGGACCTGGTGGCTTGCTTTCTCATTTTCCCTCTCTCTCTCTGTCTCTCAATGGTCATATTAAAACAAAATAATAAAAAGTAAAACAGAATAAATAATTTTCAAAAGAATAAACCTATACACATAAATTCAATGAGGTATGAAATGGTCCAATTCCCCCAAAATAACAAAGTATTACAACTCACTCAATGGCAAACAGATCATTTGAATATTCCTATAAGTATTAAGGAATAGAACCTATAATTTAAAAACTCCCTCCAAAATAAATTTCTAGGACTAGATGGTTTCATTAGAGATTTCTATCAAATATTTAAAGAAGAATTAACCCTTCCGAATTAAGTCTCTCCCAGAAAGTAGAAGCAAAAGAATACTTCCCAATTTTTATGAAGCCAGTTATTACTTCATCAAAATGTACCAAGAAAGTAGAAAAAGACAAAGCCATGGGCCAATATCTCTTGTCAATACTGACATAAATATCCCTAACAAAATATTAGTAAACAATATTCAGTAACATATAAAATTATTACATATTAAGTTCAAGTGGGGTTTATTCCAGAGATGAAAAGATGGTTCAAAAACTAGTACGACCTACCATTTAGGAGGTTCATGAAGAAAAATTGCATGATCATAAAATGTATTAGACAATACTTACAAAAACATTGACAAAATTCAATGCTTATTCATGATAATAACTACATAATCCAAACAGAAAATAAATAATAAATTAGACTTCATTCAAAAAATTTTCCCCTGTGAAAGAACCTGCTGAGAGATTAAAAAGATAATATATAAACTGGGAAAAATATTTGCAATCTACCCATCTGCCAAAGGGCTTATATCTAAAGGATAAGAAGTCTCAAAACTCAGCTGTATAAGAATATCCAAAGAATACAATCAGAATGTAGGCAAAAGATATGGAAGAGACAACTGACCTAAAAAAAAAAAACAAAAAAAAAACAAAAAAAAAAAAAACAGAAAAAGGGCAAACAAATACACAAAAAGATGTTCAGCATCATTAGCCTTCCATAGGTTAGGGGGATGGTGAGGAAGAAGGGAATGGGTGGGACTCAGGGGTAGTATTGGGAAATAAATGCAGTGACAAAATAGTTCTGCTTTTTGATTTTATTGTTTTGTTTTGTTTCTTCTTTACTACAGGGTACATGCAATCACTGGAGAAAGACAGAAAAAGAGAGGGAAAGTGAGAAAGTACCCACCAAAGGGGAATGACCACATGGCAATACCTTCTCCTCCATTCTTCTCTCAGGATTTTAGACATGCACACACTCCCAGAATGTTTTTCAAACTGCAGGGTCCAAAGCTCAAACCCTGCAGGGGGCCATGTGAAAACCAGTTGCCTTAACCACCATGTCACCTAGATGGCCTTAACTGCATTTTGATTGTGGGAATGGTTACACAATCTACACGTGATAAGAGGGCATTAACTATAAATATACACTGTACCAAAGTTAATATTTTGTTTTCACATATTATAGTTATGTAAGAAATAACTAGTGGGGAAATCTGGGTAAAGGTTACATGGAATCTGCATTATTTTTGCTTATCACTTTCACTTATCACTTCCTGCGGATCTATAATTATTTCAAAATAGAAAGTTTTTAAAATGCCTATAAAATTTGCTATTTATGCATATAGAAAACTTGCATATTCTATTGTCTTTAAGGAGAAAAACAGAGAAGACATTTATGGGACACAGAAATGGATTGTTGCCTATTGATGATAGCATGTGTAGTATCCTTAGCTAGAATGGTGTGAGGTGTATTTGTGTTGGGTAAATTCGCTTTACAAGCCAAGTGATGTACAATGATTGGATGTATAAAATAAATTTAAAATAAATAAATATATCTTTATTAATAACTTTTAAAATAAATTAGGATCTCAAAGTTTATGACTACATGCAAAACTATGTTGAACACCACAGCATGGGGGGAGGGCTCTTCAAAAAGTTCATAGAAATGTATATTGTGAAAAGGTTGCATGGATTTGAAAATTTGCACTTAATTCTATTTTTCTTCAAACATTTTGAAGTCCCCTTTATGTAACATCAAAATAATAATTTAATTTTGAAACACTGATCTGAGGGAAGCATTGTTAAGGAAAGATGTTATATGTGCATTAAGTTTATAAGTACTGGCTATTAAACAAGTTATCCTTTATGACCAGAAAGAAATGAACTTGGAAGGCTCCTATCATTTGTTATATTTTGGTAGACATATAGTAGATATACATAAATATAGAATAATGATAGCTAATCATATCTTTTCACAATCTGATTCCACAACTGAAATCTTAAACTTTTACCCAATGCCTAACATTCTCTATAGTAAAATAAATTAGTTTGGTCTTGAGGGTGACACTTAACTAACAAATTAATAATAAACAGCAAAAGGATTTTATGTAACAGTAACATTATTTAAACATGTTACATTTGAAATCTGACAAAAGTTACCTAGGCAGCTCTGAAGTAGATATCCTAAGCTAACATTTTGGAAGGCGATCTTTTGAGTCTTCCACCAGAAAACAAAAATTTACTTCTGGCAGTATGCATCTTGAGCAAAGCAAGATCCTGAAGAATCTTTCTTCCTACATATTTGCTAACACATATTATACTGTATATTTTGCCAACCATTTTATACTGTATTCTCCAAACTACAGACATTACTGAAAGAACAGGTAGGACTTACCAATTGTAATCCAATCGAGACTGGTGAAGCTGCTGCTGTTTTAGGAGAAGCTTTGTCTCCTGCTGAGCCAGTAGATGCTGAAGGCGCTCTTTTTCAATTTCCAGCTCCATTTTCTGAAGCATCAGTTGGTGCCTTCTCTCTTCTGACAGTTGTTTTTTGACATCAGTTTCACTGGGCTGCAGTGCTCTTCTGCCATGCATGAGAGATTCCCAAGAAAGCCCACAATAGCTGCATGATTCTGGATGTGCTTTGGAACAAGGAAGGGCTATATTTTTAGAATGGCTCTCATAAGATTGACCAGCATTTTCAGAAAGTCTGTCACCACAGCATGAACTCAATGAAGTAGGCTTACGATGTGGACATTCCTTCATTTTTAATTCTTCTGGTGGAACTTTCTCTGTTAGGACTGCATCCACTGGTTTTCTTCCTGGAGATTCATAATTACATGTTCTGGTCTCTGATGGCACCCTGTCTAGACCCTCTTTGGGATGAGGAAGGGTGGCTGGATTCAAATAATTATTCCTAAACTCCATCAGAGATCCTGAAGCTGAATCCTGGTGCGCAGACTTAGGCCTTTGCTTGGTTTGATAGTAGGTTTGTGGTTTGGCTACACTCAAGTAGGAACCATCCAGTTCCACAGATGAAGACTGCAGAGTGCTTTTCTTATTGGACACCTAAAAGAACCACAAGATCATTGTTAAATAAGAATGCAATAAAACAAGTTCTTTCTTTTGGCTTTCCAGAATCCTATGCTAAATGTTTACCAAAATTAAGACACTATTTTGTCTTCTTAAATTGCAAATGGCAGCATTCACACAGTTAAACAGGCATGTGTCTCAGAGCTACATCCATTTTCAAAGAACCTACATTTCAGTATATCCATATAAGGATGAAAAATATAAAGTGTTGCTGCCTGCTGCTTAAGCAAGATCTTTGGTGATTTCAGCAGTTGCAAATAATGAGGGTTACATAAAATCAACTTTGAGAAGAGGCATAAGCATTAAATGTTAACGTCTTAAAATGTTTACTTTTGAATACTGAGCCAAGAAATCCATTCAGCCACCTTAAATACCCTTTGATTGGCCATTACACAGCATGAGATTTTTATGTAAAACATTTTACCTTTTTACAGAATATGATGTTACTTTACTGCTAAAAATTTGATGAGTTTTTAATAAATATCTTTACGTAACACAGAAAGAACCAACCACTTTCAACAAAATATTATTCTAATCAAAAGTGGCTACTTAAATACAAAACATATTTAATTTCAGCTACATACATAAGTAATTTTTGAATTAAGCTGTTCAAGTGATTACAGATGATAGAACTCAGGCAGAAAGTATCCATGCATCGTGGGAGGTGATTTCTCTCCTTCTCTCTCTCTGTCTCTCTTTCTGGCACGTGCATGTGTCCTGTGGCAAAAACTTGAACAAAAATTAAGAACCTTATCTACCCTTCACTGGAAGCTTGAGTCCAGATTAACGTCTCCCACTTTGAATTTATGACTGAGCAATACAGGAAGACCCTGTTTTAAAAAGTGTGTGATGGCACGCACCCATAGTTCTAGTTGGGAGGTTGATGCAGAAAGATAGCAACACAGAGACATTGTGGGAAAAAAAAGGAAAGGAAGGAAACAGTATATTCATTATGTAAAAGCAAGCAAGAAACTAATTTCTGCCAATAACTATGTGAATTTGGAAGAAATCCTTGAGTTCCAGAGAAGAATGCAGCACAGCTGACATGTTGATCATGGCAGTAAGACTCTGAACAGAGAATCCAAGTGATGTTCAAACTCACCAAAGTTGTGAGATAATAAATATATGTTGTTTAAACCATTAAGTTTGTGGTAATTTCTTAAATAACTACAGAAAACTAATACAGTACGTAACTTGCCTAAGCCTTGGGTTCGCATTAGTTAAGACAAGATTAAAAATGTCTTCATTTTAGGAGGCTAAGATGCTCAGGGCCTGTCCCTTCAGTGAATCGAGTTCTGTGATCTTGGGCAAGTCACTTAACCTCTCTCTGCTGCAGTCTCCCTGACTTGTAAAATGAGAGTAATATCTACCTTAAAGGGTTATTGTGGGGATTAATTAGAGACAATGTCTTTAAAGCATTTAGGTTCTTGAAGAAGGTGCTGTATCAATACAAAATAATATGTACTAAAGATGTTTCATTTGGGAAAAAAAAAGAGAAAAAAAATGTCACATCATCTCAAAACTGAAATGTGGTGGTGAGAAAGATAGGCAGTAAGCAAGGGTGCTGTTCATAAAAGTTGAGTCTACAGAAAGGAACAAGAAAATTTATCCAAACTTCTTTCAAAGAAAACACTGTATATGGTATGTGTGTTTATGGTGAGATCCTCAAATGGCATTTTCAGCTGAAACAGACTCTCTCTAAACTGTCTTCTAAATTAAATGAATTCAGTTACCTACCTTTATTTTGCTAAATGAGGTTTGCAATTTAGGTCACTGTTGAATTACTTGAAAAACAGAGAAGTTCTTCATCTTTTTCCTTCATACCGAAGATGTCATCTGTCACTAACATCTTGCACTGCCTCTTAAAAGTTATTGTGACCATTAAAGTATTTCATACAAAGTGCTTGAATTATGCCTTATACCAAGGTGGTATTCAAAAACTGCTTCCTATCATTATTAATATTCTTGTCATTGACTTCTCTGCCTCAGTAATTTGTGAAGACAGAAACTATATTTGTCCATCTGTATTTACAACACTGGAGCTTATACATAGTACCTTCTCAGTAAGCATGTGTTGGGTGCAATGGTAAAAAAACTTCATGTTGGGTTATGGGTGACTAAATAAAATCAGAATCCATGATAACGCTGAATCACAAGTTACTAAGGCAGAGGAAAAAAGGGAAATAGAAAACTCTTGTAGAGTGAGTATAAGAAATGAAGTTACTTTATTAGTAGAGTTGAAGATAGATATTGCCTCTGGGACATATGGAAGTCACAAAAGGCCTGAATGAAACATATGTTTTCCTTTCTGAAGCTACACTATGCTTTCTATGTGATATTTTCAAATATTCCTTCTCTTAACTAAGACTGCAATTAACAAGGAATTCCAAACTGCTGCCTCTGGCATGAGTTTAATGCAAATTTTTCAAATCAATAGGCTTTTTTAAAAATTAAGGTATAAATTATATATTTAAAAAACTGAGGCATGTTTTTAAAATTGTAATTTCTAGTTTACACATATTCATTGTATATCTTTGTGAAGTACAATATGGCTTTGCAAAGCATGCATACATTCAGTTGTCAGAAAACTTATGACGTATTTTCCGTTTTTCTATGCAAAATGCATCATCACTCTTCCAATAATCCAAGAGATTATAATAATCAAATATGGGATGTCTCTTTCAACAGTGAACATTACATTATGTGGTAGACATTTAATAATAGTTCTACTAGTTTTTTTTACATGATTTTACCTTAATAGAAGTTATTGACTTATTTTTAAAAAGTAGTGATAGAAGCCTGGCTTCTTTAGCTCAATATAATATATTTTTTAAAAAATTTCATGTATTTGAGATAAGACATGCATGCGAGAGAGAGAGAGACGCACACACACATTCGATAGGGCCTCATCATTTCACGATCCTACTCCCCGCCTAGCCAGCCAAGATCACAGACATATCCATGCCTGACATGCACGGTGAGAGACCTTGAGACACCAACCCAGGACTATTTCGTGTGGCCTCATCACTGAGGTACTACTACTGGCACTGTGGCTGGTCTCAACATAATTTTTAAAGGGCTGAAGATGGAAAATGTAAAAAGAAGGAAGACTTTTGTACAAATTACTTGTAATGAAAACTCTTGCTTTAAATGATTACTTTCACTGATCACTGACCGCTCTCAGGATACCTTGTCATTTAGCTATTCAGAACCAAGAGCATACTCTGATCTATACTAAATGTTTTACAAATTCAACCTATAATTCTTAAAAACAACTCTGTATAGTAATTGTTATAGTTACCATTTTACAAGGCCACATCAATACTACATGAGGAAAGAGAGATGAAGAGAAAATTCAGGCTTTTTTAGCTATGACGCAGTTGGAGCATAATGTCTCTTACCTTGGGTTGACACAAGCTAATAGGCAAATGCCAAAATACCAATGAGAAAAGAACAAAGTTTTAAAAAGGTATGAGAAAGTCAGCATGGATACAATGAGGAATTTTCTAATACTGAAAGTTAGTAAATGTCTTTTTTTTTTTTTTTTTTGGGAGAGGTTTTTGCTATAGGGTGCATGCACTTACCAGAAAGATAGAGAGACAGAAAGACAGAAAGCGAGAAATCACACACCCCCCCCTCCCAGGAGGCTGGCCATGCCACAATCCCTTCTCTTCCACTCTCCTCTTGGGACCTTGAGCATGCATGTATATGTGCACGGCATGAGTTTAAGCCACTAGGTCCAGGACTCGAACCACGGTTGATTATGTGGGAGTCCAGTGACATAGTCAATCTGCCAACTGCTGGTCCCTAGGAAATGTCTGAGTTGAAAGTAGGTTTTCTGAATCTTTAAGGTACCCTTTTAAAACATGACAGAGCCAGCTTGGTGGTGCAGCAGTAATATTCTACTCATGTGAAGATGGATTCATATGGGTCTAGTTCTTTGTTCTCTGTACATGCTCAGTGCACATATGCCCTGCTCCTGGTGGCCTAGAAAGGTTGTGGAGGAAACAGTGGCATTAGATCCTGTCGAGGGTACTTGTCTCTCTCTCTCTGTCTGAAACTCATACAATAAGAAAAAGAAAAACTTTAAAAAATGACATTTGAAAAATACTGCACAGAAAATAATGATGCCTATTTATGAATGTACATATGATGTTATATACACATATGTACACATACATATGCATATAAGTACATGCATGAGCACACACCAAAAATCATATACTATTTATATGGTAATCAGGGATTTCTCATATTCTCATACATTAAAAAAAAAACTGCAGTATTACTTTGCTAAATACCATCAACAATTAACAATGATGTTTTATAAGTTTCTACAAATCATTTTTATAGGCCTGGCCAATCTCTGTCATAGAGCCAAAAGGAGAGAGATGAACTAAACCGGAACCATTATTTTCTGCAACAGGTTGTTACTAACTTTGGATGCTTAGGAAGGGATTAATTCTAATGCATTGATGATTTGTTAACTGCAGGGTTAGTTAAAAGTGCCAATAGGTCTTATTAATATGTACTTTTCTGATGATAAATAATAATTTCCAACACTGGCAAGCACTCTAGTAACAGTCCTCATATTCCCAATGAGTCTTAAAAAAAATGAGAAAAAAATGTTGATTTTGTAATTTCAAAAATCCCCTTTGCTCTTTATTTTACTGAGAGGTCTGTGGTTCACAGCCTTGATATTTCTAAGCCTAAACTACTAGGTAGAAGGGCAGGTCACGGTGCTTCCAAGAGCACTTGGAGTTAATGTGGAATAAGGCACAGAATGATCTGCTACATTTTTAGCATTGGGCATACGTCGTCCACTTGTCAAGCTGACAGGAAATATGTAATGCAACAGCTGCACTGTGTGGTTTGCCAAAGTCTCATCCCAAATAAATGTTCATTCTCTCCACTGCAATTAACTCCTATACTGGCAGATTTTGCTAGAAGATCATCAAGGTAGATTACCTTCCAGC